AATATGTTATAATTAAGTCAAACTGAATTACACAATTGTTTTGTATAATGATCTTACCCAGTATAGGCTGTTGGCCAGACCTCATAACCCGCACCTAAACTTAGTGATCGATCAGCCTCGTAACCGAACCTAAGCTTAGTGATCGGCTCAGCCTCGTAAGCGCACCTAAACCTAGTGACTGATCAACCTCATAACCGCACCTAAACTTAGTGATCGATCAGCCTCGTAACCGAACCTAAGCTTGGTGACTGATCAGCCTCATAACCGCACCTAAGCTTAGTGATCGATCAGCCTCGTAACCGCACCTAAGCTTAGTGATCGATCAGCCTCGTAACCGCACCTAAGCTTAGTGATCGATCAGCCTCGTAACCGCACCTAAGCTTAGTGATCGATCAGCCTCGTAACCGCACCTAAGCTTGGTGACTGATCAGCCTCATAACCGCACCTAAACTTAGTGATCGATCAGCCTCGTAACCGAACCTAAGCTTAGTGATCGATCAGCCTCGTAAGCGCACCTAACCTTAGTGACTGATCAGCCTCATAACCGCATCTAAACTTAGCGATCGATCAGCTAATCTATATAAAGATACAGGACGTAAATGAGGTACTTCCCATATTACTGACGAGGTCCAAGTGCACCAATGACTTAGTATCACTCGTGCACGACAACTAATAAACAAACGCTCCGTGTATATATGTGTGTGTGTGTGTGTGTGTGTGTGGTGTGTGTGTGTGTGTGTGTGTGTGTGTGTGTGTGTGTGTGTGTGTGTACTCACCTAATTGTGCTTGCGGGGGTTGAGCTTTGGCTCTTTGGTAGAGCCAAAGTACTATATGGTACTATATGGTACGGGAAGTACTATATGGTACAGGTGCACACTCATGTGTGTGTGTGTGTGTGTGTGGGGGGGGGGGGGGGACCATAATGGCGGACCTCCTCCTCCTCCAGGAGGGAGCGTTCGTACGCCCAGAATTATTTATTGAATTACCGGTTATTATATAATATCTGATATAATTATCAAAGGGAGTGGATATTAATTAGCTCTCTTTTGGTTCTTTGAAGTTTCACTTTATTATTGATATTGATGCATTAAGTAGTCCCCAAACTACACTTAATAATTAACTGCTTAACAGACATAAATTCCTTCTGTTAAAAAACAACTCCTGCGGACGTGGCGGGGAAATTTCTAGCAAATTATTAGAAGAATTTCCTACAATTCTTCTATTTTAAATTATATTTATTTATGGATTATACTTGGCAAATAACACTACATGGGAAGATATATCGTCTTGGTGAGTATGTAAAAATGAATATAGGGTAGATTAAATAAAAGAAGGAGGGCGAAATTTCCCACATTTCTGTTACCCTGTGTGTTTGTGTTGGATAGGCCTACCTATTATCCTATATGTTAGTGTTAGGTAATCCTACCTGTTAACCCTATGTATTGGTGTTAGGTAGGCCTACCTGTTAACCCTATGTATTGGTGTTAGATAGGCCTACCTGTTACACCATTTGTTGGTGTTAGGTAGGCCTACCTGTTAGTCCATGTGTGTGTGCTAGATAGGCCTAACTATAATCCAATGTGTTGCTGTTAGATAGTCCTGTCATGTGAATTGTTCTTAGATAGGCCTACCATGTTGGATTGGCCTACGCGTGAGAGGTAGGTCACTATATGTTACAGGTGCACCAGTCGTGGGTCACTATATAGTACAGCTGCACCAGTGGTGGGTCACTATATGGTACAGCTGCACCAGTGGTGGGTCACTGTATGGTACATTTGCACCAGTGGTGGGTCACTATATGGTACAGCTGCACCAGTGGTGGGTCACTATGGTACAGCCGCACCAGTGGTAAATCACTATATGGTACAGCTGCACCAGTTGTGGGTCACTATATGGTACATTTGCACCAGTGGTGGGTCACTATATGGTACAGCTGCACCAGTGGTGGGTCACTATGGTACAGCCGCACCAGTTGTAAATCACTATATGGTACAGCTGCACCAGTGGTGGGTCACTAGATGGTACAGCTGCACCAGTGTGGGGTCACTATATGGTACAGCTGCACCAGTGGTGGGCCACTATATGGTACAGGTGCACCAGTGGTGGGTCACTAGATGGTACAGCTGCACCAGTGGTGTGTCACTATATGGTACATTTGCACCAGTGGTGGGTCACTATATGGTACAGCTGCACCAGTGGTGGGTCACTATGGTACAGCCGCACCAGTGGTAAATCACTATATGGTACAGCTGCACCAGTGGTGGGTCACTAGATGGAACAGCTGCACCAGTGTGGGGTCACTATATGGTACAGCTGCACCAGTGGTGGGCCACTATATGGTACAGGTGCACCAGTGGTGGGTCACTATATGGTACAGTTGCACCAGTGGTGGGTCACTATATGGTACAGCTACACCAGTGGTGGGGTCACTATATGGTACAGGTGCACCAGTGGTGGGTCACTATATGGTACAGCTGCACCAGTGGTGGGCCACTATATGGTACAGGTGCACCAGTGGTGGGTCACTATATGGTACAGCTGCACCAGTGGTGGGCCACTATATGATACAGGTGCACCAGTGGTGGGTCACTATATGGTACAGCTGCACCAGTGGTGGGTCACTATATGGTACAGCTGCACCAGTGGTGGGCCACTATATGGTACAGGTGCACCAGTGGTGGGTCACAATATGGTACAGCTGCACCAGTGGTGGGCCACTATATGGTACAGCTGCACCAGTGGTGGGCCACTATATGGTACAGCTTCACCAGTGGTAGGCCACTATATGGTACAGCTGCACCAGTTGTGGGTCTCTATATGGTACATTTGCACCAGTGGTGGGTCACTATATGGTACAGCTGCACCAGTGGTAGGTCACTAAATGGTACAGCTGCACCAGTGGTGGGTCACTATATGGTACAGCTGCACCAGTGGTTGGTCACTATATGGTACAGCTGCACCAGTGGTTGGTCACTATATGGTACAGCTGTACCAGTTGTAGGTCACTATATGGTACAGCTGCACCAGTGGTGGGTCACTATATGGTACAGCTGTACCAGTGGTAGGTCACTAAATGGTACAGCTGCACCAGTGGTGGATCACTATATGGTACAGCTGCACCAGTGGTGGGTCACTATATGGTACACCTGCACCAGTGGTGGGTCGCAATATGGTACAGCTGCACAGTGGTGGGTCGCAATATGGTACAACTGCCCCAGTGGTGGGTCACAATATGGTACAGCTGCACCAGTGGTGGGTCGCAATATGGTACAGCTGCACCAGTGGTGGGTCACAATATGGTACAGCTGCACCAGTGGTGGGTCACTATATGGTACACCTGCACCAGTGGTGGGTCACTATATGGTACAGCTGCACCAGTGGTGGGTCACTATATGGTGCAGCTGCACCAGTGGTGGGTCACAATATGGTACAGCTGCACCAGTGGTGGGTCACTATATGGTACACCTGCACCAGTGGTGGGTCACTATATGGTACAGCTGCACCAGTGGTGGGTCACTATATGGTACAGCTGCACCAGTGGTGGGTCACTATATGGTGCAGCAGCACCAGTGGTGGGTCACTATATGGTACAGCTGCACCAGTGTTGGGTCACTATATGGTACAGCTGCACCAATGGTGGGTCACTATATGGTACAGCTGCACCAGTGGTGGGTCACAATATGGTACAGGTGCACCAGTGGTGGGTCACTATATGGTGCAGCTGCACCAGTGGTGGGTCACTATATGGTACAGCTGCACCAGTGGTGGGTCACTATATGGTACAGCTGCACCAATGGTGGGTTACTATATGGTACAGCTGCACCAGTGGTGGGTCACAATATGGTACAGCTGCACCAGTGGTGGGTCACTATATGGTACAGCTGCACCAGTGGTGGGTCACTATATGGTACAGCTGCACCAGTGGTGGGTCACTATATGGTACAGCTGCACCAGTGGTGGGTCACTATATGGTACAGCTGCACCAGTGGTGGGTCACTATATGGTACAGCTGCACCAGTGGTGGGTCACTATATGGTACACCTGCACCAGTGGTGGGTCACTATATGGTACAGGTGCACCAGTGGTGGGTCACAATATTCAACACCTGCACCAGTGGTGGATCACTATATGGTACAGGTGCACCAGTGGTGGGTCACTATATAGTACAGCTGCACCAGTGGTGGGTCACTATATAGTACAGCTGCACCAGTGGTGGGTCACTATATGGTGCAGGTGCACCAGTGGTGGGTCACTATATGGTGCAGCTGCACCAGTGGTGGGTCACTATATGGTACAGGTGTAAGAGAATAAGTAATGTACGTTACAGATGACGACACCCGTGTGAGGCTACCACTACTCCCTGACCAACCTCACAGTGACTACATCAACGCCAGCTACATCCAGGTGAGTGAGTGAGTGAGTGAGTGAGTGGGTGAGTGAGTGAGTGAGTGAGTGAGTGAGTGAGTGAGTGAGTGAGTGAGTGAGTGAGTGAGTGAGTGAGTGAGTGAGTGAGTGAGTGAGTGAGTGAGTGAGTGAGTGAGTGAGTGAGTGAGTGAGTGAGTGAGTGAGTGAGTGAGTGAGTGAGTGAGTGACTGAGTGAGTGAGTGAGTGACTGAGTGAGTGAGTGAGTGAGTGAGTGTGTGTGTGTCAATGTTTCTCTGTTCAACCGAGTTGAAATAGGATTTTAGCTCTTGCTTGCAGTTTTATCAGGTTCCTTATATAATAGTTAATATATTACAGTTCCTATGCGATAGTCTCTATGTACATTCTCGTGAAATGTTTCCTTATCTCCTCTTTGAGGTCATCACAGAGGCCTAAGAAGTCAATACTGGGGCATCATTTCCGTATATTCTCCTCCAGGTCTACACAGAGGGACAAGGACCTGAATACTGATATTGTCCTAATGTTCTTTAGGGTCACTCGAAGACTGATGCGTTCATCGCTTCCCAAGGACCAAAGGCATTCAACGTTGACACCGTCGGAGACTTCTGGAGGATGATCTGGCACACTCGCTGCCCCACCGTCGTCATGGTCACCAGCCTCCAGGAGAACGCTGAGGTGAGGAATGGGTTCTTGGTGCCTTGGTGGAACCCCTGAGGTATAGCCTGGTCACATTAGTGGTTACTGTCCTGGTAGGTGGTGACTTGGTGGAACCCCTGAGGTATAGGTGGGTCACATCTGTGGCTACTGCCCTGGTAGGTGGTGCCTTGGAGGAACCCCTGAGGTATAGGTGGGTCATATTTGTGGCTACTGCCCTGGTAGGTGGTGCCTTAGAGGAACCCCTGAGGTATAGGTGGGTCATATTTGTGGCTACTGCCCTGGTAGGTGGTGCCTTGGGAGAACCCCTGAGGTATAGGTGGGTCATATTTGTGGCTACTGCCCTGGTAGGTGGTGCTTGGGAGAACCCCTGAGGTATAGGTGGGTCATATTTGTGGCTACTGCCCTGGTAGATGGTGCCTTGGAGGAACCCCTGAGGTATAGGTGGGTCATATTTGTGCTACTGCCCTGGTAGGTGGTGCCTTGGAGGAACCCCTGAGGTATAGGGGTCACCTCGGTGATTACTGCCCTGGTAGGTGGTGCCTTGGAGGAACCCCTGAGGTATAGGGGGTCACATTTGTGGCTACTGCCCTGATAGGTGGTGCCTTGGAGGAACCCCTGAGGTATAGGTGGGTCATATTTGTGGCTACTGCCCTGGTAGGTGGTGCCTTGGTAGAACCCCTGAGGTATAGGTGGGTCATATTTGTGGCTACTGCCCTGGTAGGTGGTGCCTTGGAGGAACCCCTGAGGTATAGGTGGGTCATATTTGTGGCTACTGCCCTGGTAGGTGGTGCCTTGGAGGAACCCCTGAGGTATAGGTGGGTCATATTTGTGGCAACTGCCCTGGTAGGTGGTGCCTTGGAGGAACCCCTGAGGTATAGGGGTCACCTCGGTGATTACTGCCCTGGTAGGTGGTGCCTTGGAGGAACCCCTGAGGAATAGGGGGTCACATTTGTGGCTACTGCCCTGGTAGGTGGTGCCTTGGGAGAACCCCTGAGTTATAGGGGGTCACCTTTATGTTGTTATTGATTTAGGGGGCCACGATGGCAGTGGTACCGGAGGTGCCCCGGCGTTTCCTTGAATGATAAAACGCAAAGCCTCACGGATATCTTAACGTCGCCTGTTGGCAGTAAATAGTGCGCCTTGCGGCGAATAAACTCCTGGGACTCCGGAAGGAGGCAAACATGTACTCGCACTCTACATAGAAAACATTTGGTAGCCAAACGAAGTCAAGGCAAAAATTAATGGCCCTTCCCAAACTCGTACCCAAATGGGCAAATATATAAAAACGTCTTTCAGTAACTCCCAGCAGAGCAAGGCCAGGTATCCATTACGTCCTCAGGACACACCAAGAACCCACCAAGACCTGCCAACCCCCGGAACCTCTCGCTGAAGGTTCCATCTGGACACCCTCTCTCCGCACGAAGAACCAACCGGCAGGTGTCAGGTGTCGTAACAATCAGGGCTGTTGAATACAAGTGCTTGACGGCAGTATCGAGACCAATGGGTAAAATCGCGTCACATATTCTCTGGGCCTCCATGTGGAGCAGGCGTCCAGACGTCCACTCGTCGCCACTTTTGAACCAGAAGTCGAGATAATGCTCTGGTAGGTGGTGTGGAAAATATTTTTCCACACATGAACATCAATAAGTTACTAATAATTTTACTTAATAATCAACTATGAGGATTCGTCCGCTGTTCTACAATAATAATTTTAATTAAAATGCGCAGTTGTGGCTAAGACAATAGCTAGCCATAATCTTCCTACTTTAATGAGACGATTTAGCTACTAAAATTATCTTGCTTATTCTCATTATTAATCAACGTAGAAGAATTCAGAGTTAATGCTTTAAAAGTTTATCATATGAAGTTGATGTTATGATCAGTAGTAATTTAACGGTCAATCCTAATTTAATAATAAGCCTCTACATTGATCCATGAATGCAGGTGAGGGGAGGGAGGAGGCCATATTGTGTAGACACACCAGTTGGGGTTGAACACCTCCACTATGTTTACCATATATCCACAATCACAAACTCCTGCTTATGCTGCCATAAGGCCGGCGAGCTATGTTCAGGACAGTGTTAATGTCTCCGTCTCAATTTTTCGTTAAGTATCTCGTGAAATCACTCGTTTTTGGCCATTACTAGTAAAAGAATTGTGATAGTGAGAACGATAAGGCTGAGGGATAACCCCCATAATCTCAAGTAAGAACCCCAAAGTTATTCCGAGTCCTTGCTTGTTTAATATTAATGAGTGATTACCCAATTTCTAAGCTTCAATGTTAATGAGTAATTCGCCAGCAGGAAAATTAGTATCAACATTAGCTGTTTAAGATGTCATCTGAACAGCTATATCATATTTCCTAACCACAATTCAGATTGTGCCTAACTACAATTTAGATGTTTGGCGGCTGGATGCATTTGGTCTTTGTTGATGAAGACGAGTTGCATATAGCACCTTGTAAACCCAAAAAATCATAAATGAGCTTCCGGGTTATCATCTCAACCTATGGTAAACTAGCTATACCACTTGGTGGCAAGTTAGCTCCATGAGTAGCATTAGAACTTCTTTCATTGTAGGTGAATATATTTAAATATTTCATTCACCTGGGCTGTATGGGTTTTGAACGTGTGAGGCCGTCCCTCTGTCAACACGCGTAGGGGTCCATGGTTCAAGATCCATACAGTCCAAGTGAATGGAATGTTTATTTTCACGGAAGTGTGGATGCTAATTAATGAATTTATATAGTTTAAAGCTTTTAATCACTTGCATGTGATGTATGCAGATGAAGGTGGTGCAGTACTGGCCGGAGAAAGATCAGCCTCTGTTCAAGGATGGTATAGAGGTTAAACTCGTCTCTACAGAAGTACAGGTAAGCTGCATATATTCTTAATCATGCAGAGTTACATGCTTTGTTATGGGGCTTTCTGGCTAGGTCTTTACTGTGTAGGCTTTTGGTATCTATTTGTCTCACATTTCCCCCATCTCCCTCTCCCATTCATATTAATATATATATATATATATATATATATATATATATATATATATATATATATATATATATATATATATATATATATATATATATATATATATATATATATATATATATATATATATATATATATATATATATATATATTAGTATATTTTGGTAGCAGTCTTTCCTGTAGACGTATATTATTAAATATGACCGAAAAAGTAAGATTAATAATTCTAACACGAATTTTCTCAATCTTTCGTACATTTCTTTCCACTGTTGGTGGTAATTCAAAAATCAATTCTCCAAAATTCATTTTATTTCTAGTCTGACGTGACACTTGAGCGCGTTTCGTAAAACTTATTACATTTTCAAAGACTTTAGTTACACATACACAACTGAATAGAACTTACACATCTCCGATTTGTTTATATCTACATTTGAGTGAGGTAGATGGGGTGAGGTGGTATTTAATAGGGTATTAAATTCATCAACACAAGACAGAACACGAAACAATGGGTATTGAATAGAAGTGATTGTAGAAAGCCTATTGGTCCATATTTCTTGATGCTTCTATATTGGAGCGGAGTCTTGAGGTGGGTAGAATATAGTTGTGCATTAATTGGCTGTTGATTGCTGCTGTTGACTTCTTAATGTGTAGTGCCTCGCTAACGTCAAGCCGCCTGCTATCGCTGTATCTATCGATGATTTCTGTGTTGTTTACTAGGATTTCTCTGGCGATGGTTTGGTTTTGGGAAGAGATTATATGTTCCTTATTGGAGCCCTGTTGCTTATGCATCGTTAAACGCCTAGAAAGAGATGTTGTTGTCTTGCCTATATACAGTTTTTTTTGGAGCTTACAGTCCCCAAGAGGGCATTTGAAGGCATAGATGATGTTGGTCTCTTTTAAAGCGTTCTGTTTTGTGTCAATCGACTTGAGAATAGTCCAAGACGGACCGAAACGTCGTCGTCCCTTAAACTAATAGTGTGTGGTCTGGTATATATATATAAATATATATATATATATATATATATATATATATATATATATATATATATATATATATATATATATATATATATATATATATATATATATATACATATATTTATATATATATATATATATATATATATATATATATATATATATATATATATATATATATATATATATATATATATATATATATTGTGGGATATCTGCGGCTTGACTCATATATTCAATTATTTACTTATTTGATTTAATAAATCGAAGGACCACCCACTTTTGAGAAAAGAGGGAAACTAATAAAAGTGATCATTACAATAACACTAGAGAACCAGTGTCTATGGATAATTATTAAAAGGATAATCACTTGAAATAATGAATGGACTGTATTATTAATTAATTAAAGTCAGAGCCTCAAAGACCTACATTGGGGGGGGGGGTATTTCTAGAAATTCATATACATCTAGGAACCAGTGTGGTTCGCCACCAGTTCATTGCTGAGTAAATGATATTATAAATCTAAACTACTATAGATTCAAATATGAGAACTCAAATTGTGAATATTAAAGATTATAATTACTGAGCAACAGTCAGAGCAAACACATTGATTACCAATCATCATTTCTGGTAATAATCTATTCAATGCAAAGATTCTACAAGAACTATATAAGAATCAAATCATATAAAATAAATTTGTACGAAAGGGGTCTTAGCTTTAAGACGATTTCTATAACATCTATTTCTATAACATCCATTTCTATTTCGTCATTCGTCCTCGTATTCACAGGATCTCCACAAGGAAAGAACTAGAGGTGAATAACACGAATGAAGAGAAACAACTTGATGACTCCTCGCATACACGCTGAAATCAGAGAAAATTAAGTACCATTTGAATAGGCTACGTTTTAATTTCAATATTCATGGAAACGGAGGAAATTGCCAAACTTGTACTAACGTTGTATATTGGGTCTCCTCGCTATATAACGACGACTACTCACAAATATACAATCTAGGATGATGCATCAAACGAGAAACCTATACTTATCGTGAGCGTATTGAATACTGAGGTCTGCCGGAACCGTGTCAGCTAGTCCCTGACGTTCACTGCTGTGTACGTGTAATTACGGGTCTTGGCTTCAATTGTTGACGCGTTATTAACTGGCTGGGCACTATAGAACACGTGGATGAGTAATTATCAACTGTTGACCGAGTATCAGCGTAAATCTTGCCGATAAATTCCCCAGTCACTACCACGTATCTTGCCACTCTTCACGCCAGGGATCCCTTCTCTCGCACAATGGCGTCGCCGCCTCCCTCAACCCGTCTCTCGCATTCGCCACAGAAATTATTAATCACGAATAATTCTTTTCCGCACAATTATGGATCTAATAAGTTAATGAGGACTGGGTTGCAATTATAGGGATTTAAATATTATCATATTCTCGTTTTACGGTGTTAAACGAGAAATGGAGAAGATTTTATTTTCTCCATAACATTCGCACGTAACAGATAAACTACTGCTTGATAACAATTTTAGTTAATAACTCTCGGTTTTAGATTATTGGGAGTTATATTATCCGTAGGTAATTATTACACGGAATACTGATAATTTTAGAGAACCACATTCAATTCTCTAACCCATTGGTAATAAATGTGTCTAACTGGACATTATTTGACGCAATGTTGCTACTCGATTTCATGAGAATTCTAGCATTAATACGCAGATGCATTATCATACAGTAATTAAAGTATTATTGGGTCATTCAAGATCGAGGAGACTCTGACACTACAGTAAGGTCACTGTCTAGGGTCGCTGTGACTTGTAACTATTGAGTTACTAGACAATAACATCACGCAGCATCATGATCACCCCAAAATCAAATGATGATATTTGATTTATTATGCACTGCCGTGCACTAGTCATTCTGACTGATGGTATAACTAAGTTGCTAACTAGCTGAAATAATGTAATATTAGAGAACTGAAAAGGTTTATTCATTAAAATCAAGGAAGAATCTGAGTCGACAGTGAGATTAGTAGCTTAGTCATTCTGACTTATGAGCTAATTGAATTGCAGCTCATAGGCTTGACACTGTAAACTCATTAATACATTCTCAACTTTAGGTGAGAATTGAGTTTATTAAATCAGTCTCTATAAGTATAGTCAACTGTACTTAATTGTGAGTACAGACTAGGCTAGTACTCAGTTGACACTAACTAAAGTCCCTAAAACCTACCTATATAGATGGTTTAAATTTCTAACCTACCTAAGTAGAGGACTAAGCTAATGGTGATAACTCACTAATTCTTAGTGGAGTTACTGTAGCTAAATTGAGAGCAGAAATGTACTCGAATTAACATTGTGAGCTATATTAAGCTCGAATTAATTAACATTGTGAGCTATATTAAGCTCGAATTAATTAGCTATATTGAGCTCGTTAACATTGTGAGCTATATTGAGCTCGTTAACAGTTAACAGAGTGAGCTATATTGAGCTCGTTAACAGTTAACAGAGTGAGCTATATTGAGCTCGAACTAACGAGGTGGAGCATTGTAACGTTCAATTATCATGGCGAGCAATATTGAGCTCGAATTAGCATGGGAACAATAAAGCACTCAATTATTACGTTAATTCACCAGTGAGCTGTAAGATCAGCTTGGGTTATTAGTGCAAGATCCTTGTTGAAGAATAGCTAAGCACGGAATCTAGGCAGATTCTCTGGTGAGCAGTGCTCGAATTAGCGTGGGGAGCATTGTAGCGTTCAATTATCATGGCGAGCAGTGCTCGTATTAGCATGGGTGAACATTAAATTGCTCAAATACTACGTTAACTCAGAAGTGAGCTATATTGAGCTCATTAAGCATGTTAAGTAACAATGCTGATGGTTTAATGATAATGCATTAAATAAAAGGAAACCTAAGGTTGCTGGAAATTTAATTACTGCCATGATCAATCCTATTCAAAGATAATTTGTAACATTTTCCCAACCTAAACGTTTCACGGGTTATTAGTTCCCTGTAGATTCACTTATGTATTGGTAAGTTTGCAAGTTTGTTCGTGCTGCGCTCCTACAATAATTAAGCAGAAACGAAAGAAAAACAACTCAAACAAAAACTGATGCAAGTATTTTTTCATTAATTCTTAGTGCAGAAAACGTTGAATTAATAAGGTTTTCTTGGCAAACCTTAAGCGCAGGTATTGTGGACCTTGGTCCTAGTGAATTTACAAGTTTAGAAGTTGCTTGATGACTTCGTGTTACTGCTAAATTCAGAAAATGCTAGATACATTGGGTGCTAGATTCTCTAGCCTAATATTCTTGATTACCTAGGGAGTGCTAGATTCTCTATCCTAATATTATTAATTATCTAGGGAGACTGAGTGTGGTCAATTATTACTCGTCGAGAATAATTCTAGATCTGCAGTGGATTCAATGGCTTGGTCGCTGTGACATGTACTTGTTTAGGTACGACCACTGGATTTCCACTGACAGCTATAGAACATCTCGGCAAATACTAATTGTACTACATTCAATCTGGGTTTATTACTCAGCTGTGTTACTCATTTTAGCTTGCTGCTGGATAATTGATATACTGCTGACTAATTTATTATTGTTGGCAGGCTTAGGCTTGTTTATATTCAGAACTTTACCAGTAAGTAAGTAGCCACCTGCAGATTGGAGCATATTCATGCCCAATCGTTTAACATGTCCAGTTATGAACTGGTAATAGTAGTCTGCTCCTACTAGTACATCTACCTTGTTAAGGCGGTCAGACGTTAACTTGTTGTCAGCCAAATTAATTTCACGTTCCTGCAGGAAGTGGGCTGTGTACCCCAGACCCTTAATATTTAGGTCAAAAGGTATTTGATCTACAACAATGGCTTGGACAGCCTTGACATGAC